CGTGTGTACCTTTTTCGTGCAGCTGAGGTGACTCCTCCTCCCGCGAATCCTCCTGCCATCGTGTTGAAGTCCCTGTGAATCGCTTGTTGATGGACCTCTGATGCCTTTGCTGGGGTGTCCTTGAGGGGGGTCCTCTCTCTATGCATATCCCTCCTTGCATCGTTCTGCGCACGCCTGTGTCGCCTGTCCAAGGGGCCTTCTTCCTGTTTTCTTGCCACAAACTTTTTCAGGCGTCCCTCCTTGATCAAGCGTTCAATCTGTCTTCCAAGGACGAAACAATTTTCCGTGGAATGGCCATGAGTCCTATGAAACTCACACTAGTCCATCTTGAAGGGACCCAATTAGCGTTTCATCGCTGCTGGAAACTCAAACAACGATGCACTGTTGACATCATGAAGTATCTGCCTCCTAGGAACATTGAGCGGAGTAAACTTCTCTTCGTCGTTGGCTCGTGCCACTCGCCCCTTGGCCGACCACCATGATCGGTCTGTTGGTAATTTCCCTCCTTCATATTATAATGGTCACGTCGCTTATTCCAATCTGAACGCGGTCAGAGATGTTTGTTGCTCTCCTTATTGCTACCTCCCGCTTCTCAGCTTTCAACTGCCCTTTTATTGATTTGTCCTTCTTCCGTCTTGATGTGACTCAGGGCAAAAGCTCTGACCTCCGACATCGTTTGGCAATTTACTCTTTAAAGCGCGATGTCAAAGGCGCCAGACCTTAGACCTTTCTGAAATGTGATGACCGCCATCCTTTCATCCAGAGATGCTATCCTCAAAGCTACCTCGTTGAATATTTGCAAAAGTCCTTCAACGACTCCTCGCGTTGCTGCTTGAGATCAAAAAAATTTGACGTGATCAGTGGTTTCTTTTCAAACTGTGCCATGAATAGCCGACTAAAGACGTCGAAGTCGGTGATTGATCAGTCACGGAGACCACTAAATCAATCAAGTGTTGTTTTCTTGAGCGTGCCCATGAACAGCTTGCAACGGATTTCCATACTCCCTCCACAAATCAACATTTGTGCTCGAAAATCTGTCAAGTGTTGACTAGGATCTTGGGTTCCATTAAAAGGTTGCACCTGGGGGACCCAATGATCTCTCGGGATGATCTCGGCCTCTATAGCCTCCGAGAAAGGTCAAAAATCTCTAGGAACTTCCATCATGACATCTTCCTCCGCCGTTCGGGTATTGGCCGTTATCATAGCCTGCATCTCATCCACTCGCCTCCTGATCTCCTTGTTTTCTCGCTAGATGGCCTCCTCCCTTTCCCTGGATTGTGCATTCTCCTCTCTCAAGCTGTTGATCAATGTCATCATCTCCTCCATGGTAGGGTGTTGTGAGTCACTGTTTGATGTGCCGCCTCTCGCCATAGTGAAGTGCAAGTTCTTCCGTATTACTTGGGGCGTAGGAAAAGTTTTATTGTAGCCCCACGGTGGGCGCCAAAATGTTCCGGCCAAAGGGTGGACTAGGGTTTCTTCCTAGGTTGAGCCTTAAAGCCAGAGCATTCAAAAGTGTAATCTGCCGTCTCAACTCTAGGATTTTCGGTCTTATAGTTTCTTGTTCACGGGCCTTATGGGCCCTGAGAATGTAGGGATTTCCTTAACCGTTCTAATCTGGAAAATACTTTGTGAGTGAAGGTGGGGCCTTGCCATTGCTATCGGATAGCTTCTTCATGCGAAGGTTGGATCGACCCCTGCTCGACTAGGCCCACACTGAGTGTCCAGTCGGATAATGACCGGGTAGGCACTTATAGGTAAGCAAGATCGGTATCTGACCGACTTAGCTTGCACGAAGAAGCCAAGTCGACTATATACCGAGTGACTCTGAGAGAGTGAGTCGGCCAAGACTATAGTCCGGTGACCTCATGGGGAGAGATCAGGTCGGAATCCGACCTAGACAGTACAATTTGCATGCAGTAATTAACATGGAGACGAGGACAATGAAGATAACACTTTGGTTCACTCTCGTGCGTAAGAGCAAAAAATGCTTTGTCGACAAAATGTATTCCGAGTCCATCTCTAATCTCTATAGTCACTTCATTTCACACATTTAAGCATATATATCATTTTCAACATGAAGTAAGTGACATTATAATTTGTATTGTTTATTTGATGGTTAAGTTTGGAGTATGTTTATTCATGACTGAGCTAATTTTTTTACTAAATAGAAATAGGATGATATTCTTAGCACTGGTGAATTAAGAAGGGTTAAAGAGATAAACATGCATATCATCATATATCTTTTTCGTTATACGAGTCAAAATATAATAATTAAGTGTGCTACTCATTATTAGTTAAATAAATTATGTGGTGCTCGAAGCAAGAAAATAAAACAATTTTCAAAAACCTAATCAAAGTAAAATGATAATAACCTTTTCGTTATAAGCAGTCAAGCACAAAAAAATTGATAGATCAAAGTGAATTATGACATATATGTAAATCCGATTCACCTTGAAAATGGGTTAAAAATTAAGAAATTTATAATTGATAAAAAATTTAACTTGACTCACTTTTGATCGTTATATGAGTTGAACTTTTGATGGATTGAGTTGTCTACTTAACTCACTTATCATTTTGCTTTGTAAGCTCATAATAAGGTATTATTTTTCTTTTGTAGATGAAGATAAAGTTAACGTTAAATAACATGAAATTGATATAGCTAGACTTATCTATTCAAATTTTCAATGAAGTTTAATATTGATGGAACCACTCAAATGACAAGATTTTTATTATTATTGAAAGTTGTACACCTTTTAATTAAGTTTAATGATGTAAGTATGATGTTTAATTTGACAATTTTTATTTTAAGTTGGAGTTTATTTTAAATTGAAGTTTTTTTTATAAATAAAATAGATAGGCTGACTTGTTTAACCCACCAATTTGTGACCCGAAATTCAAATCGTAATGACTGCTCCAGTAATATTCCCCCCGGATCCTCCAAGACGATTCTGGCTCCATTTCCTCCTAGATTTGAAGCACCATCCACTGATATAATCCATTGGGTTTCTCCGACACCACCCTCCTCAACAGGAGGGGTCAATTCCATCAAGAAGTCGGCTAAGGCTTGAGCCTTGATTGCTCCTCTCGGCTCATACTTGATGGAGAACTTTGATAACTCGATCGACCACTTCATTATTCTGCCTGCCAGGTTGGGTTTTTGTAAGACTTGCTGAATCGGATGGTTAGTTCGGATTACCACCTCGTAGCTCTGGAAATAATGTCTCAACTTCCTCGCGATAACTAGTATCGCAAGGGCTAATTTTTCAATCTTCTGGTACCTCGTCTTCGCTCCCTGTAAGACCCTGCTCACGAAGTAAATAGGAACTTGAGAAGCTTCCTGCTCTTGTACAAGAACCGAACTGACTGCTCGGTTGGATGCAGATCCAACCTTATATCCCAAAAAAAAAAACATTTTCTAACTCTACTGTCAAGCTTCTTTCTGTTGGCAATCAAAGTAAAGACAGAGGATAAACATCCAAATACTTTAAGATAAGCTACATCAAGAATTGCATTATGTAGAACTTCGTAAGGTGAATGGTACTCAAGAAACTTGGTAGATAATATGTTGATCAAATAAAATGAGTGTCATACTGCATAGTTCCAAAATGTTTTAGACAAACCACTATGAAACATAAGGGTCCGAGCAATTGCCAATACATGTTGATGCTTCCTCTCAACTACACCATTTTGTTGAAGGCTTCCACACAAGTTAGCTAGTGCATGATTCCGTTTGTAGTATAAATTTCCCTTTAGAGCTTTCAATTAGGACTAAACCAACTACTTATACAAATGTAACAAAGGAGGAATGTTGGCAACAAGCGATTCAGGATGAACTCAAAGCAGTATAAGCAAACAAAACATGGTCTCTCACTAAATTACCACCAAGAAAGAACACCATTGGATGCAAATGGGTGTTCAAAGTGAAATACAAGGCTGATGGTAGTGTAGAAAGACATAAAGCACAATTAGTGACAAAAAGGTATACACAAATGACTGGAATAGACTACACCAAGACCTTTAGTTCGATGATAAGATGACTATTGTGAGGACACCACTATCCATTGCAACCACAAAATATTGGCACTTGCAGCAATTGGATGTAAATACATCCTTCCTTCAAGGAGACTTAAATGAAGATGTCTACATGGAGATACCTCCTGGATTTACAGATTACAAATCTAATCAAGTTTAGAAATTAAAAAAAATCCTTATATGGACTAAAGCAGACTAGTGAACAGTGGAACACCAAGTTAACCGAAACTTTAACCACTTGTGGTTATCACTAGTCAAAGGCAAATTATTCCTTGTTCACAAAAAGGTCCCTTGTTGGATTTGCAGTGATCTTAGTTTAAGGTCCCTTGCTGGAGATGATCAAAATGAAATCAACTCAATCAAACATTACTTGGATAATCAATTCAACATCAAAGATCTAGATCAACTTTTTTTTTTTTTTAAGGAAGATGACCCACAATTAGCGATGGCAATGGGGCCCATGGGGGCGGGTAATAATAAACCCGACCCCGCCCCGCTAAATGAAAATTGGTCTCATACTCACCCCATATCCGCGCGGGTATCTATTAAGCGGGTATCCATGAATTTCTTGAATATCCACAGATATCCATGGATATTTATAAAAATTTTAAGAAATTAAAAAAATTATATTACAAATAATTTTAAGTTTATATTTTAATGTCATTGAAATATTAAAAATAAAAATTCAATGTTAATTTTAAACTTTTATTTAACGTTAATTTTGTTGAAATAATAATAAAAATTCAAGATAATTAATAACTTAAAATACATCAATCTCACAAATAAGTTAAAGTCTCATCACAAAGCTACAATAATTCAATCTCATAATTCTAAATGAAAATAAATAACTTAAAATACATAAATCTTATTGGTCCAATCAAAGCTAGAAAATTAATTAAATTAAATCCAACATAATTCTATAACATGTTTAACACATGTCGATAACTTCATCAACCTCACTTTTGTAAGAAAATAAGATGAGAGAATGTAATTTTAAGGTTATGTGATACAAGGATAATTAGGATATTTAAGAAATAATATTAAACGGGTACCCGCAGGTATGGATATCATCATACCCGCCCCCGTTCCATTTATAAACGGGTAAAAAATTATCCGTCCCCATTATCCATGGGTATCCAATTAGCTTATCCATTTATTATCTGTAGCGGGTTTTATCCACAGATACCCGTGGGTGTGGGTTTTTTTGCCATCCCTACCCACAATACAGTGAATCTTGAATTTCTTGAATGAGTCACACTATTACACTATACACAGAGGTCTTATATATATATATACAAGACTTGTAACAGAGAATAGTTATATCTAACTAAGTATTATAAACCAAAACTAAATACATCAATTATAGAAACCATTAACAGAAAACTAAAATTACATACTCTAACAGCTAATAAAAATAATCTGTGGTTCAAACGTCTTCTTTCATAAAAGCTATCCTACAGCTTGACTCAACTTCAAGGCCATCTCAGGATCAAGTGGGAAAGTAAACCGAGAAGTTTCTGGAACATGTTGTGAGATAAGTCGTGCAGTTTCTTTCCACCAAGTTACCTCTATTTCTTTCTTAATAAGTTTTTGTGTGGCACATTCTAATGCAGACTCCAGCTCTGATATCCGTTCCTTCAGTCTTGCTTCAAGCAATTCATGCAACCTTCTCTCCAGTTCAACTGGTGGAACTCCAAATGATACATCATAACTTGCTCCTTGAGGTTCCATTATTATTTCACCAATACTTGAACTATGGCTCTTTGAACTAGAGTCCTTACCAGTCACCTGCAAAGTCATGTTTTCAGCCATTCTGGAATATAACCAATAACCAACAACTGAAGTAAAAACAACAAAAGTGTAATCAAATAATTTTACAGACTACCTGCAAAAATGGAGCTTAATATCAATAGCACGAGAAAAGGAAACGCAGCACATAGTTGCTAATGAATAGTATAAATTTTATACTTCACTTCTACCAAGAGTAGCTTCCATTTCTATAAGCAGTATTTAATTGTATAAGGACTTTTCAGTAAATCTTCGTCTAGATGTTGCCTTTCTCATGATTAAAGAGACTATTCTTAAATTGATGTTTCAAAGATTCATGCATCTAATAGTAACACAAAAGTAATAAAAATATAGCAACCCATAATCATATCAGATTGGACTAACCATGCAACAATTTCCTGACTTTATGCAGTTATGTTGGTTGATACAGCTCTCAAAGACACAAATGACAGAAGAAAATGACTTAATTAAGATCTAACTAGTGCAATTTTTTATCCTCCTTGGCTGATAATTGCCTATCAGCATCAGAAAAGGAATATAATCAAGAGAAATCACACTACCAAACAATATACCTTGACTCCCTTTTGTTGTGCATCTTCAAATGCAGCTTCTCCGTCTAAATACAGCTGCAACCGTTGTAACTCAATTTCAAATTCTGCATGGAGCTCGTTTATTTCCTCTGCGCGTTCATCTTGTTCATTTAAGTTATATTCTAGAAAATGATTACGAATCATGTCGCATTCCAACTCTGGTTGAACATACTGTGTTTGTGAATGAATAGAGAGATGACTATTAGAGCTGGAAACTTCTTGAATATCAGTCATGGAAAGGGCAAGAGCATCACTTTGTTTCAACGGCTTAAGAAGTGCATCCTTACTTTGCAGTTCCCCTTTCACCTTTTGAAGGAATGTTTCCATTTCTTCCCGTAGCTCAACCATTTTTCCAAGCTCATTTTTACTTGCTGCAATCAGATATAGCAAACCACAACCAACTCCTAGCTTAAAAGACGTATCATTCTCATGTAACTGTCCTGCATAACATCAACATCATATAGTTAACCACGAAAACCAGGGAAAAAAAGAAGCTAGCAAGAAAAAGGAGCAGAAGAGGAATGCGCAGAGAAAGAAAGGAACAAAGCCAATGAATGACTAAAACCACTTTGCTTTTTCCACCCCTAACAGAAAAACAACATTAGTGGCTCATGTATCTGAAAGACTGATATCCAAAAACAAAAAGATAAAAAAGAATTTCACTAGTAAAAGGTAACTCGTAACTATGGAAAGAATTCTATTGTACCTCACGTACAAAGTTATTAATTGATGAACCTTGTATGATTATGATTTATGACATCTATACGCAAAGTCATGAATAAATATAACCTTATTTGGAAGAGAACAAAACACAAACTTCATATGAACACAAATACTGGTACTCACACGGTGCCTTTGAGACTATTACAGGGTTTAAGGATCTAACAGGTTAAACTTTTCTATAAACACTTCAAAAAGAAAATAAAAATAATTAAATTTCTCTATAAACTAAAATTAATTTATATATAAGGTAAAAAAGGTGTTATTGGATAAAATAATAGAAGAACTTCCACAAATTAGCCTATACATAAATAAATTAACATGTTTTGGATAAGCTTATTTCATTTTTCTTTCTTATTTTCTCATTCAATAATCAAAAGTTCATCCAAACAAATCTTAAATCCAACTTATTCAGAAATTGCATTGTAATGAATGCCATAGCACTTCACAGACATACAATCTACATGATTAACCAGTTTTCACACTCGAGCAAATCCAAACAACGCGTTCAAGTATTGATACTAGAAAATCAAGCCACACGGTCAAAACGCAAGAAAGGAACTAAACACGCGCAGTTACAGTTAGGTATCTTTCCGAAACTAAGATTACGAAATCAGTTACTAAACAAAACGAAATTGCAAATAAGCAAAGGCTCTCACTGGAATCGTCGCTTCCTTTTAGTTCGTTCTCCGGCAACGGCGGCGTCTCCAAATCACCGCACTCATTCTGGCGCCGCGGCGGAAGCCGCTCCTTGGCCGGCCTGAGCGGCGCCAACAGCGAAGCAAGAAGCCTCCGAGGCGAAAAACACTTTGTAGAAGGAGGACTGTGAGGTTTTTGCGAAACGGCGTCCATGCAATGAACGGCGTCGTGGTCAGCGCCGGCGAGGAGAATATCGGCGACGCGTAAACGGCGGTGGGGAACGGAGTGGGAGTTAGCGAAGGGACAGTGGTTGTGATTGGGAGATTTAAAGAAGAGATGTTTCATCGTTGCATTAAATTCTTTCATGATAACGATTGATTCAACTTCAAAGCTCACTCACTTGAGACCACACCCTATTTTTGGAGGGAAAACTTTTCTTCTTCTCCTTCTCTATCCCTCTCCCTGCTTTCTATTTATTTCGTAATTATTAATTATTAAATTATTTTATCAAATTCATTTTTATGCTTGTTAACTAAGGTAAAGTTGATTTAAAAGTATTTTCAACCATGCTTAAACTAGTATTTTAAAAATGTTATAAAATATAGACTAATTAAATAATTTTTTTCATCAAATTAATAAACTTTTAAAGTAGTTAAAATTACCTGGTCAAACAAAACATGAATGGATGTTATAAGAAATCTAAAAATCCTTACTTGATCAACAGCAAAGTGTTGCATTAAATCTTTTTTTATTTATAACTTTATTTGTGCTAATCAAAAGACATAATATATTTTTTACACACATTCTACCCACCAACCAGGATGTTCCTGGTATGCTGTTTATTTTGGCAGTATATAAACAAGGGAAGATGTTGGTTTAGGTATTTGAAGTTTTGTTAGAAATTAAATGGTATTGGTGGTTTTGAACTTTTGATTAGTATAGACTATACGGTGCATACTGAACAATACACTTGTATTAATTATGCCATTTCTATTTGTGTTAGTTGATGTAATCTTTGGAACGATATGAAGTACAATCTTTATAAATATAATAGTATTATCATAAACATCCTTATAATACATGTTTTCATAGGACGTCATGACCATTACAAACATCCAAGTGACAAAACATTTGTATTAAAAAAATAAGTGAATGAAATATAAAAAATATGTTAAACCAATTATTATGAGAGACACTTTGCTTGATTCGTGGTGTTATCGGTTGTTCTTAGCTGTTGCCATGTAGTGGTTTTACTTTTTTATTTCTTAAAAAAATAACATTACTTAAGAGTAATGTAGGATATTTATTGAGCGAACCAGTGTCTTGAGTGAAAGCCCAATGAGTAAACCAGTAAATTGGGTCAAAGCCCAATGCTTACTAACTGAACCACTTCAGGCCCGATTACTGGCCCTGAATCTGGCTCGAAGCATTTACCAATATGTTCAAGTTTGACTTTAGCTTCTAGTTTGGGACGGGAAAAAATCTCATACCCTCAAAATATTTGTGAATATAAGTGTTATTATAGATTGAATTTAAATAACTTAATAGATATTTGTTGGTAAAATAAATATTTTTTTTACTAAAAACGGAACCGAAGAAATATAACATGGTATGCTATGAGTAGAAGAAATATTAATTATATTTTTTAAGTCATGTAACAAAATTATAAACGTTAATAAAATGGAACCGAAGAAATAACAAATAATTAATAATGTCAGAAAATTAATTGAAAAATGTAAAATTTTAAAACGTTAATTTTAATTGTTGATTGATATCATGGTGATGTTCAATATTTTTAAAAAAATTTACACATCGATAAAAGATGTGTTATCTACCTTAAAATGATTGTTAGTGACTTTGAATTATAAATGGATGAAATTTTTTTAAAAAAATGTTATATTGAGATTAAAATTAACATTTACTCATTTCATGAGAAAAAAATAATATTTATAAATTTAAGAAAAATGAAAGTAAAAGAGAAATCTTTTTAAAGGAACTAAAATAAAAAAAATGTATTTATTTTACATATAGTTAAAAATATATTTAAACTTACAAAATTGTATCCAACCCAACTGTCAGAGCTCATGATTTGCAAATTTAATTAGATAACAATTAATATTCCCGTGACTTTCATTTAATGTTTGCGGCAAATACAAAGATGCCGTGTATTCGAATCAGATACTGGTGCTATAAATGTAACAGCTACTTCTACGATAGAAACAGATATGATAAATAAATATAAATCAATTCATTACAATCAGATTTCTCCAAAATATTGTTTCATTGTTACGAATGTAGTTGTTTAGAAAATTAGTGCATATTTCTGGTATGTTAATTTAAGTCATGAAAAATCTGAATGTGATTTTTTTTTTATAAAAAAAAAGCAAAAAATTGGTTTAGTGCATTGTTTTCTGATAGCCAGCTTAATTATTCAGAAATTTGTTTTCATATTGTTTAGTGAAATTAGCTTCAGTAATTGGATTAACTATAAATCATGTAGCCTATTTAGTGAGAGAAGCCACTGCAACGTTACTTATTATGCGTTTGAAATTAGCTTTATCTTAATTTGAGTTCATCGAAAAAAGGATCAGCATTTGGTTTTGGCGTGTTGACATAAAGAAACATTGAGGTGGGACACGATAGTGCATTTACTTGCTTTTGCTAAACTTGAAGACTGGATTGTCCATTCAAACCCAGCTTTTATATAGCTTGAGAGACCACTTGATAAGAGTTTTACTACCACATTTTTTCCCTCAAAATTACTATATTCGTCTTCATTTGCCTCTAATATTTCTTTTGGTTGGGGTTGTTATTCAGCTTGGTGCTTTTGAAGCACTCTTAATGTGTTAGGTTGAGAAATGGAGGGTTTTTAGATCAATAACATTTAAGTTTTTTGTTAGGTTGAATTTTTCACATAATTTTCTAAATTATTTGTAATTGAGAAGATTTTTTACGGTGTGTTAAATGTTAAATAATACAATTTTTAAAAAATCATACCTCATAAGCATCGATTAATATTTGATTATTAATTTTAACATATTACATAAATTATATACATAACAGAAAAAAAAAATTAAATAAATGACATGATAATTATTTATATTTGTATTAGTTTAAAGGACCAAAATACTTTAATTTATAACGGTGTCATATTGACTCACTCAATCATAAACTATTTGCTATCTCATCCTTTTGTTAAATTTAGGGATAGTTATTTTATAGTCCCCTTATATTAATTATGTTTTTATAATATCATTCTTTGTGTAATATAATTAAGTCTTATCAATTCATCATTTCTTGAAAAATTTACTATTGTTTGATAAAAAAATATAGACACCTCATGGCTATTTATAAATTAAATTTTTTTTAATATACTTTACTTTAACATGTAGTGATCAACAAGCATGTCTCATTTGGATCATTGATCTTTTTTATTTTTCTCTCAATTTGCTTTGTAGATATTATCAAAATATAAAATAAATAAACTAAGGAAGCGAAACTAAACTTCCATAAAACTCCAAGCCTACAATTTATTTTTGTGTTTTGCATGGTGTACAAAGTGAGAGAAATAGTGTTTGCTCACTCTTAAAAATCTATATTCTTACGTATTCGATAAACTCTAATTACTTAACTACTTTGATTCCTTTAAACACATACATCCATAGTGATCTCATACTTGACTCCGATAACACTAAATACTACAATCTTTTGAAGTAATGTATCATCTTAAAAAAGTTATTTATGAAATTAATTCAATCTTACAAAATTCACATACATGTATATAAAATAAAGATTTAATATTTATTTTTCACTTATATAATTTGAGTCTAACTCAATTTTATAAAATTAATTTATAAAATAAAGATTATTTCTCACTTATAAATACTAATATGATCATATTTCTAGATTATGTGGTTCTCCAACAATTGTATTGGTTGGTACATGTGAAATCTTTAACATATTTTATCACTTCACAAGTGTGGTTCACGAAGACCTAAATTGAGGTTGAGACCCACTTGGCTATTCTGGCTATTGATGGAGTGCACAACTGCTTCAGCTAATGGTATGATGAAGTCAGGGTCTTTGATTATACAACTTACATAATCTTCAATTTTGATGTGACTACCACGATCGTTTTGTTGCTTTACATCTTCACAAAGTCTTGTTTCTCTTTGAGCCCAATTGCATAAAGTAAGGTCAATGTTCATAGCATCTTTTTCATTAGACTTGATTGTCATAGGCAAATATTATTACCCATCGACTCTTCTGGTGTACAAGATGATGACTTGAGTAAATCATGAAATGCACCATCGTTGTGTTTTCCCTCATAAGTTGCTAACAGGATAAACCTATCCTGTATGATTCTTTGCACCTACCACGTGTAATTGAAAAAAGGTTCATCAAATCACAAATATTAAAAACTTGGTATATGAGAATTTGTTGAGTCAGAGCTATGATAAATTGATAAAGAAATATACATTTATACCCTTTTCTTGACAGGGCAGGTGGGAGCCATGGAGCACATGAAATAAGCTCTAGGCGAAGGATTGTCTCTTGTAACATTCTTCTGACCATACTTCTTCCACTTATAACACCATCTGTTACCATCTATTTCCCCAGAGAAATTAAAATTTGAATGTGTATATATGCTGTTCCTGAGCATTAATTAAGTGATTTGATACACACAAGTAAATAATGGGCATACCAAACTAGTGTCCTTGGGGTGGGTTCTAACAAATATTTGTGATGGATTTGAGCTTGAGAAAACTCGGGTCTTACTAATGTTGACCCATTTTGGTGTGACTTTTGTTCTGCATTATTCAACTCTTTAATATAAGATTGAAGCTTTTTGCATTTGCTGCTCACAGATTCCAGCATCACTCTTAGAGTACAATTCTCCTCTTTCACACGTTGCAGCTTTTCATCCTTAATGATGGTCATGAAGACTTAATAAACATTGTTCAACATTGCACATTTTCATCCTTAATGATGGTTATGAAGACTTAATAAACAATAGAAAATACTCGATCAGTTCAGAATCTCTCAGTGTGTGTATGTAGAATTAGAGCATTTTTACGGACAAAAAAATTAAAAAGCAAAGGAAAGGAGGAACCCAATTTAGTTTAACGTTACCTTTTTTATCCATTATGGCAAGTTGAACTGTATTATGAGAAGCAGAACAATTTATTTTTTTATTCTTATTTACTCGAAAGAGTGGGAGGCCTAGCTTATATATATGATATTAGAATGTAATATAATAGAATTATTATAAGAAAGTTGGATGGACGAATTTCAACTTATCCATACGGATGCACGAATATTTTGTCTGGTATTTCTCAAGAATGTGAGTTAATGGCTCAATGGGTAAGTGAAACTCACAAAATTAGTATTCTTTCACTTATATATACTATTTTAACTTCATTTAAAAAAGATCAAATATAATTAGAATATGCTC